TTTTTTGTTCAACCCACGTGTTTACAGTCACTAAAAACAACTGTGGCCCATAAACAGAACATTGAAGAGTGAATTAAATTTCACCTATAGTGGACATGTTGTACACGCTAAACCTTTTATCACTAAGTAAATCATTCTGATAACTCAAATTTGTGAAATCACTTTTTAATCAGTTTAGCTTTGACTATAATCGAATCAATCTCATATGGATAGTTGGCTGTTAAACACTATGTGTAATAGACAGATAATGGTACAACTGAGTAAACACTTGTGGTTAAGCCTACGAAGCTACAAGTAACAATGCATGTATGAAGACTTACTTGGTTCTTTAAATCCCGATAGATGGAGAATAGATCCGAGTCCATTTGTTGACGACCTAGTGCCAATAATCTATTCAGCCAGTCCAAAAATAACCTACACACATTTGTTTTCGGCACAAATCATTTTGTTATGCCAAAGAACAAACCTACTGCTTCAGTGCTTTCATTACCTGGTTAGTGATAATCAGTACCGAAGCTGAAAAGAATCCATTTTCTAGATTATTTTGGAGACTAAATTTAGTGAACGAATATCCTTGACTTCATTTTTTGAATAAACAATCCAAATTTAGACTACTTCTAGAGAGTTTTCGTTCTTAAATCCCTTACTTGATTTGTATTTAAATATTCGTACTAACTGATACACTGATTTTAGCAATTTAGATGGGAAAGTACGTTTTAAGCCTTCCACGTTATACACAATCACTTTAACAATCGTTCCAACTTTTCTAGATGTAAATTTTAGTGATTACTGCGATTAAGGTAATCATATTATGGATTGTGACGAATAGCCTCTTTTCTTGTCAGTGGTACTGAGTCTATAGTCTAACAACTAAGCTAAATGATTTAACGTCATAATGTGTTGTTCTCATCTGACCGCTGATCTGGGTAAAATTCGTTCAGATCGTTGTAATAGCATCAGCTTTACCACGACTTTCTGTGCATCCGCAAGAAGCTCAGGTGCAGAAGTGTTTGATAGTTATTCATTTGCTCCTTATCAGGTACGTTACTGGCATTACACCCTATCAAATCCATATAATCCATTCAGTTTCATCTTGGTTGACCAATCATTTCAAAGGAGGTTTCAATGACAAAGTGATAAAAATCACAATAGTTTCGTAATGCCTCCAAAAAACTAATTCATAAGTGGTGAAATATCTGGATCTCTTCTGTAACAATATGAACCGCTGACCAACAATCTAGTGATTCGTTGACTTCAGATCGTGGAGAAAACTTCAGTAAATTCCTAAAGAAGAGAGAGACTAAAGTATCCAGGATTAAAAATCTGTACCGCTATTCTAATGATTGATCATGATCCCACTGAGACTGAAATCCAGTTCCCGACGCTTCAAACACTGGAACTTTATCCATTTGGCTATAGCTACGGTGAATTCAAATCTTGAATCTTGTTGCAGTGCTATGATGTGACCTCTATTAAAGAGGATTCTTAAATTACAGTGATATAGATTCCCCAAAAATCCGTGGTTTTATAGATATCACCAACTTACCTCCACTTGTTATGATATACATGTACAGAATCACCTTCATTTAATGTGCAAGACACTGTTTGACAATGAGAACAATGGATAACCTCTTACTTCAGCTATGATTTCCAACCAGTATCAAAAACTGTTTTATGACTTCCTTATTCGTTTGTTAACTAAGTGATATTTAAAAATATTTGCTTGCTTGACCAGTCAGTTTTAGCCATTTTTATATTGAACACAGCATCTACTTATTTACTGGAACTACCTGATTTCCTACAATTTATCAATAAAAAGCTGATGCTTCAGTTTAATTATTTGATTTATTTAAAACAGACTTGATGCAACAAGAACACCTTGAGGTTTACAAAGCAACATGATATCATAAGGAAGAAATATAAAAATTACAGAAGTAAGAAAGATGGGCTATTATAGAAACACTTTCAAAGATATATTCAAAGAGGTATTCTCTACTTTTGTTTTGCCTTTCGATAGTAGGGAAAAGGAAGCTGCAGCATGATCGCCACTGGTTTCGATTTGAAGTTATCGTCTGAAGCCATAGAGTCACGTTACCTCATAGAAACTATCCAGAAAGTTTCAAGACACTAACAGATACCATTCTTATACAAATACTTGTCATCTCATGGCATCATGTTATACACTGCTTATCTCTTTGCTTCTTCTAACAAGTCTTAAGGAAAGCAAACAGTTGAGAAATCACTAGAACGACATTCATCTAGCACGTTTAAACCCCCTGAAGCCGATGTTTCAGAATGAGCTTATTTTTTAAATGGCATTATCTATCACGTCTAAATGAACTCTGTTTCACTTTAGAATTGCTTAAGTGGTGCTGCCACTGGATCGTCGCAATCTTACTTAGACAAAAGTGGTCAGACACAGAGTCTTCGGACATTCTTAGCTCAGAGAGGTCACTTTCATAAACGTGTGGCAGAACTGTTCTTACCCATGAGGTGCACACCCGACCTCCTGATGACAAGATAATGTCACGGCAGCACCAGTAGTGTCTAGAAGTTGAAATATATCACTATACTTTTCTCTAAACGGCTGGAAATCGCATCATTCACGCCCCGACTAGCAATTACACAGCTTTTCGACAACTTCCAATGCTTTACCAAGAGTAAGTGCAGGGACAGGCTCTTGCCAATCATGTAGGAGCATTTTGCACTTTTATGGTGCAAAGTATATGCCATTCTTATTGACACCGATGGCGACCTGATTAAGTGCGACTTCAGTGGTTTACATGCTGTCACACAATGATATGATATCGTCTGGATATTCAAAGAAAAATTGACAGAAGTATCTTTGTGCCTCTAGTGTCGAACCACAAAGATTTCACTATGTTAACAAGCATTTCAAGGACACTGTTCTCTTAGAGATGATTCTAGAATACATCCTTGTCCATTTTATCGAAGGTAACCCTAATATCAAGAAATGAAACAACTGCTGGCCTGCAGTACGTGTGATGGCATCTAAGCATCTAACGTAGGGTGAAACAAGTGATCTACCCATCCGTGACCTGAACGAAACTCATGTCTTTTACAGAGCTTTAAAAGTTTGAAAGCACCCACTATTTCGGAATGTAGCATCAGAATACTGACGGACCGATGATTATTATATGTTTTATGTAAGCCTCTTGTTAAGAAGAGTACAACAATAGATTTATTTCAAGATGATGAAACAGTCTGCTATACCTTTTCAAGCAATCTAGCCAGTTGCCTGATAGCAGAAAATGTCGATTCTATCTTTAGAAAGAGCCCTGAAATACGTTTTCTAGGTCGGTTGTCTTATTGGACTTTAGTAGGCCCTTTCATCAGGGTGGTCGGTGTCAACTAATTCTGGAACACACAACTGTTAGTTAGACATTTTTTGAACAGTAGAACAGTTTAGTTTTTTCAGTGTTCTGTCTAGCATCCCAGATATCTACAAACAGCATAATATCTAAGTTACAGACCGTTCAATTATCAATATTACTAGTATAATGAATGTCTTAATCACCTTTTTCATACCACCGTCAATATAAATAAGCGAAATTCTGTTGGCATATCTTAGTAGCGACGGCTCTGACTGCTGTTCTAAAGAAGATAAGTTAGCACATTCGAGAAAGCAGGAATCTCTTTAGCATCAAAAACACATGCAAGACGACTGATTAAAAGAGTAAAACCTAAATTTGTAGCTTTCTAATAATTGCCTTTAAGTACATAAATATAAACACCAAGTATGTTGATGTCAAGCCAGTCTCTTTGATTATATCTGTTCACAATCCAATTGAAACATGCCAATAAATACGACAAAGTCAGATATGGCATCTTTTACCACATCGTCACCAATTTATTAACAAAAGTGGTCATAACGTTTGTAATAATGTGAGTAGTTAGATGAGAGAAAGTGTTTTCCATTTTCATAACTGTAATTCGATTTTGATGTCAAGTATGAAGATGGTTTTCTCAATTAATGAAGTTAGTAAATTAGAAAATGAAGATATTTTCTTTCTATTATCATAATCTAATAATGGTTTTTTGAATCATGAAGTCTTCTTGATTTGCCATCATCGTAATGATGAAGTCCACTATGTTCAGAAACTACTAGATGGTGATGTTGTTTTGCTGTACAAAAGGTCAAAAAAGTGCTATTTTAATATGATTCTACAAAAGAATATAAAAACTGAAGAAACCGTAGAATTTAAAATTCGACATTGACTTTGATACACCGATTTGACTTAAGATATGGTTGCAGAATATCACGGTAAATAATGAGGTACTGCAGCTTGGTTCATAAAATAGACTGGCGTAGATAATGATCTGCTAGAGTTAGAACTTTGTTTCTCAGTGAAGTCTATGACAAGTTTCGTTCACTGAATCTAGTCATCCGTTTCATTTCTCCTAATAATAGTTGAGTTGTTACCGACCTTACCTTCGAGTTATCATTGTTCTTAAACCAAGGACAAGTGTGCTGAGCTATTACAGTTAATGATGGAACCCAAAATATTCAGATGTACTTTTTTAGATCAGTCAAAAAATACACAAGTTTTAGCGATTTGTTTCTGAACCAAACTCAATTTTACGGTAAGTAAGCATGATCGCTTAAATTTTCTTAATCGTATTTCCTGTACACTTTGCATTTAGTTGCCAATATTCATGTGAGGTACAAAGCATCATTGAGGATATGAACAGAGAAATAGTTCACTTCGATCGCTCAGTTATATCTTGTCCACAGCCCTTAGCACTGAATGTTCAGGATATGATATTCACACAAGAACCGTGCGCAAGAAAAACTTCATCCTTACCAATAACATCACCAAAAAATCCTTCACAACATTCATCAAATCAATCGCTACCACATCCCAATCAGAAATTCTTACATACTAAAGAGAACAACACCTTTAACCAGCCTTCATCAACATACCAAAATTTTATGAAAACTGGTTACACTACTTCATGCTACTGGTTGAACAGAATAACTTAAACAACAACATAAAATCAACTGAAGAGCTTCAGAAACACCTTCAAATTCCTGAAGACAAGTTGGACAAAACAGTAACAACAGAAAGCTCAAACAAAAGAACTTTTTGCAGCAAGCCATTCGCAACAGACTTTTCAGATATAACAGGCTGTGCAACTAAGACTAATGTGTTGACAAATAAAAGTAACTACTGTTTTTGGATTGATCCACTCTTTACCAAGTTTCAGTTGACTACCTTAAATAAAGTTGAGTTCATCTAAAACAACGAAATGTATATTTTACAGCATGGGAAACAAGCTAAGGTTGACTTTAGGCCATATCAAGATTTTAGTTGCTGTAAACGTCCCGCTGTCATTCGTTGGATTAAGGCTATGCTACAGTCATACAGAAATATGAAGTATATTCAGTAGGTGAATTGCACGCTTAATTGATTACAGTAGACTGACTTAAAAGTATATTGATATATTTGCTATCATTACAAGTTTCAGCGATAAATAATTCAGTTTTCATCACTAAATATGTTAGGCACTGTAAACTTGGAATCGATGGACATCTACTTTACTTATTTATTAATTCAGGCAGTGTAGTCATAACCTAAGGAAAAATCTGTGCCCAAACTGTCACATCTCATGGTGAGCAAATAGTCATTCAAACAGTAGGATAGAATCCAACGATTTACAGTTTTCTATCTGTGTTAATTTGCTATTTATTATTATTATTACTTGTCCCTTGGGTTCCTAGTGGAAAATAAGGCTTCAGTAGCACGTCCCCAATTCACTCTGTTCTCTGCAAACTTTTGAACCTGCCTCCACGACTGCCCACAAGCTTTCATTTCTTCCTCACATGATCTCCTCCATGTCACCCAACTCGTCGCTTCCCATCTGGGTTCCACTCGAGGGCCTGACCTGAGGCGTGATATCCCCAAATGGTCTTCCCAGTGTATGCCCAATCCATCTCCACTTCCTTCTGCATATTTTTTGAATGATAGTTTCTTGGTTGGTTCTCTGTTAGCCAGAGTTCCTTGTTGCTTATTCTTTCTGGCCATCTGATCTTCAGTATCGAGTGAGCGTAGGCGGCAGTTGTTGATGAATCTCTGTAGTTTGTTGGGAATGCTTTTCACATAGAAACACTGACTTGACATTGGTGTTGAAAATTCCGATCTTGTTCCACATGCTGAATGCAGAAGATCTCCATACTGGTTTCAGGCTAATGAACGCCTGTCTTGCTTTTCCGATCCTGCCTGGCTTTGACGTCCTCGTCTGTGCCTGTGCCACCTGTAGTTGAAACAGTGCTGCCTAGATAGGTGAAAGAGGCTACTTCCTTTAAGTTTCTTCCGTTGATGGTGATTGGAGCTTGTTGTTGTCGTTGGTGGTGCTGGTTGGGTGTCTTCATCACCTCTGTCTTCTCTACGTTCACTTGCAGTCCCGTCTTCGCTGCCTCGCCTCTTCTGTCAACTTGTTAGTTTTCACATGTAGATCTTCAAGTCTGTGTGACATTGGACACAAGTCATCGGCGAAATCCAAATCCTCTAGGATCTTTTCCCCGGGCCAGCGTATGCTCCTCTTCTCGCTCCTCACGGTTTGCTGTATGATCCAGTCCAGTCGACCACAATCAGGAAGATCATCGGTGATAGTAGGTGGTAACCTTGTCTTGTCTTACTCCTGTCTTCACTTCAAAGGCGTCACCGAGCTTTCCATTGTGAATCACTTGGGATAGAGCATCCTCATATAGCATATAGCTGTTGAATGAGGTTGGTAAAGGTTTGTGGCACTGAAACCGTAGTGTTGAAGCAGCTGCCTGCCAAATTACTTCTCAGTCGACGCTGTCGAAGGCCTTTTCAAAATCGATGAGGTTGAGGTAGAGAGTTGATTGTCATTCTATGCTGTGCCTTGTGATGATGCGTAGCATAGTGTTGCAATTTGATCCGCACATGATTTGTTCTTCATGAACCTAGCCAGCCAGCCTGTTCCTGTCGTAATTTTGAATGCAGAGCATTGTTAATCTCTCCAGGATGATGTGGCTTAATATTTTGCTTGCTCTGGGTGGACAGAGACAGGATCATGATTCCGAGCCAGTTCTTGCAAATACTTAGGTCTTCCTTCTTTGGGAGTTTGACATGGTAGCCCTTCTTCCAATCCCTAGGTGCCTTGTTAATTCTTCATGTATTACGATCATTATCCAATACCGTTTTTGGGTGGTATCTGTCCTCATACTCGGTTTGGTTTACTTAACAGATCATAGCTTCTGGCTAAAACGTCGAGAAATCAATCCTAAAAGCAAGTTACTAATGAGTGATAGGCATTAATTTATTTGGTGGTTTGTATGAACTGATAGAGGTAGGAGAATGTCGATCGTTAGATTCCAACCGAATGACTGAATTTCGACGTGCTCATCATGTAACCTGACGTTTCTGAATTGGGTGCTCCATGATGGTAATGAGTTTGTCCCACTGAAGTATCTTAAACAATACTGAAATGGCTACCCAATGCTAAGAGGTCTTCGCCGGTCTTCCAACTAATGTCGATCCGTAATCAAGACTCTGTCTCTCTGAAAGTTATAAATTTATCGTTATGTAATTTTATCGATTAAGCAGTTAAAGATGATTAAGAAACAATATTATCTCATAGTGAAATCATTTCTAATGATATTTACCAGTGGTAATTAGGAGATGACCTGAATTTTATTAATCAAGGTTACATACTGAGTTTATGTGACAAACCTGTTTTCTAATTTTAAAGGAAGTATGTTATCAACCGTCCAAAGATTTTAATGGGAAACCACATCAAAGTGTTAGATGATTGTTCACCCCAGCTATGCATACTTAAAAGCTACAGAGAACAAACAAACTCTTAAACCTGTAGCTTTCTGCTTTTGTCTGGGAGATTTTTCTTTTTTTCTATTCTCCGAATTTCAAGTTACATCTACTACAAAAACCTATGGTGAATCAGATACAGAAATGTGACAAAACAGTAGCTGAAGCCTACTAATTTGGAAATTTCTGTAGTTTCATTGAATAACGTAACATATAATGGTGAAAAAGACCAAGGAAATATTAACCACATTAATCAACCAACTCGTGACCGATTTGTTTGTTGGTTCAATGATAGATTAACAATAAAAATTTTATCAGGTATACTTATAACAAAAATGACAGTTATTCAGTTCAACTCAGAGTTAGGTTGTGATGGGTAGTGGTTAACAGGGGAATTCAGGACGTACATTTCATCCTAATGAGACTAGTCACCTGAACGCAGCAATTTTGTTGCCTCTGACACTCGAACCCAGGCCCCATGGCTTCAAATGCCAAAGCATTATGCACTAGGCTACTGAGTCATGATATCCACTCTTCGTAAGGCAGATGTAGGCTTGATGTTACAGCTTGCAATTTCCCTGTTGTTGATTGGCCCAAATCGACCAGTACGCCATGTGTGGCCGATCGTTTTGGTCCATTCAACGACGGGAAATTACAATATATAGCAACATTAACTCCACTTATAAGCTCTACTCACCACTTCATTTACTTTCACCTCGTCATTTATTCTTTTTCAGAAAATAATATTCCCATTTCAGATGACGAATATCATTGTCAGAAAAATTCTGACCAAGACAGGTCTATTTCATCACGTATGAAAGACACTTTACCACTGGATAATCAACCGGTAACATATGATTCAGGTGATGACCTCGTTTCACTACCTTCAGCTTCCAATGAGCACTTGATAGATCTAACGAATGCTTCAAATGAACAAATGGATGATGCATCATTAAACACTTCTTCAAAATCACAAAGACTGAAAACTATAATTCAGGAAAAACAAGAAGACAATTCATTGAGTGAAGATTTAACAGAGATATATGAATTTGCACATTTATTTAAATTACGCAGATTAAGCTTGGGTTTGACACAAACGCAGGTCGGGGCTTCATTGAATGCGAAAGAAGGACCTGCATATAGTCAGAGTGCTATCTGTCGGTAAGTAGCTTGCTTGTAATCATTATTAATAATCTTACTGTAATGATAGACTGAATATATTTTCGAAGAAAGTCAAGTAATCAGTGAAAATCGTTTTGTCCAAACCATTCAAACGATGCTAACCTGTAAAGCAAACGGTCTACAAGATGTTTTGTTTTTACAAACACCATATTATTTCTTTAGATAATTTATGAAGAATACCTTACTGAGCATATATTTCAGAAAGTGAAGTCAAAAAAGATATTGTATTCATCTTGTTGACTAATAGTAGAATCTAGCAGGTGCGTTTCATCTTGTTTGGGACTCGTCAGCTGGACGTACCTACACCCTAGTGAGTGATGTTGTACTTACTGAGACTCGAACCCAGTACGCAGTGCTTCAAACGACAAAACGTTGTCCACTAGACCACTGGAGGACGAGAGTCACCTCTTGTGCAACGGGTATCAGGTGCTGTTTGATACTCGTAATTTCCCGTTGTTATACAGGGTGGAATAGCTCAACCTCTGGAGAGTCCCAAATAAGACGCAACGCGCATTCTGGATTCCACTGCTAGTCACCAAGATGAACAAAGCATCACGAATATCCGATAGTACTGAGGAATCCATATAGTGGCGCATCTGAGAAAAGAAGTCGAGAAAGTGGACCCTATATAGCTACGGGAAATTGCAAGTACTGAACAAAGATACCTTCTGAATTTAAAACATGTTTTCATTGTAGTACTGTGCGCTTCTTAAATATTTAACCAGTAATAAGTTAAACTATTAAGTAATAAATGCAGTTGAAAAACATTGGTACTACAGCTTCAGAAAATGTGTTTCTTCTATACATTTCAGATTCGAAAAACTTGATGTCACTCTGAAATCTGCTAAAAGAATGAAACCAGTTTTAGAAAGATGGCTATCTGAAACCGAGGCAATACAACACAATGGTACAAGTGATTCATTTGGGTCTCAACTTGTACACCGACCACCTAGGAAGCGTAAGCGTCGAACATGTTTCAGTACGAGAGCACTTAACTGTTTATTGAATCAACTTGAAAGAAATCCATACCCAACAAGTGAGTAAGCAAAATTCATGTTGATATTGTGCTGAATTTATCTTCATTAAAGTAACTTACTGCGCGTCAGATAAGTGAAAAGTAGGTATAGAATTCGAATGCTTTGTTTAATATATCCAACAGACGTGCTAACATGGCAGTGATTAATAAGTTTTATCAGAGGAACGTTTTAAGACACCAAGTAAAAAGAAAGTAAAATATGATGAATGTTTTGGTTTGATGGTTTCCGAAAAACGAATCAATAATCAAAACTGATTCACTTTTTACTCAAAAAGGTCAACGAAGTTTAGTATTACGAACACGACCCCAATGAAACATGTAAATCTGTGGCTGACTTAAACAGATTTCGTGATTTGTCGCAGCAGATCCATGAAGAAATACACGGTTCTTCAAGATTGAAACTATGTTTTACTAATAACTGCCAAAAAGTCAAACGTAGGTTCGTGGCTTTGTGTATACTGTTTACAGTTGTTCAATACAACTTATTTTGATAGGCTATTTGTTACAAAGCTATTTGTCCACATTGTCACCCGTCCATTAAAATTTTGTTGACAGAAGCAGTTCACTATGGAAAACTAAACACCATAATGCCCGCTACCCATCTGCAATCAATCTGTAAAATTCAGTAATTTAGAAATGTTTGATGGTGGGTAAAATTGTGGCCATTTAAGTGTGATGGACCTTACAAATTAATAGAAAACTATAAGAAAATTTTAAATCCCATAAGAATTATTAATCAACATAACTTTTTCAATGGGTTACTTGCATTGCTGTCAAGCATTAGTTTATTTTGGAATGAAGTGAAACAAGATATTAGAGGCAAAATACCTCGACTTCTGAAAAGTCTGGAGTTCAGATTTTCTTCTTGATAAACTAAAAATATTCGTATACAGGTAACCCAACAAAAATATTTAACGGGGTAGCCAGTATCGCTTCACGAATCTGTGCAGTCGTATTCGTAATCACGATGAGAAATGATATTTTGCTGCAATTTTTCATATCCAGTTAGTCTGAGTACTATACTATTAAAAAACTGAAATCACTTGAAAAACTTAAAAGGCTATTGCAACATGAATTGTTTCTTTCATGGGAGAGGCGGATGGTCATTTTTAGATTTCTCTTCATTTGTGTGGTTTCTCCACGTTTTTATCAATGTCTATCACTAAAGAAAAGTCCAAACCAAGTGACGTATTGAGTCAGAGGTCAAAACTTTCTAGTTGTGATTCATGTGACATCCATTCGTGAAGAGAGAATGATTCCTCTGTGATTACGTTAGTACTACATCATCTAATTATAACCTAAAAGTGGTAAGAAAAAACGCCGATGTCACAGGATTGCATACAAAGTAAGTAGAGTTTCAAAGCCTAGGTAGGTAACTGTCTCTACTTAAAACCTAGAATCCAACAGAGACAATGAAGGAAAAAAAGAAGTAATCACACAAAAACCAACAGTGACCATAAGTACTAGGACAATAAATAAATCGACATGTACATTAAGGCCACAAAAATATCAGAGACTGATGGAATTTCAGTGCCTGTGTTGTACACAGGTATTACCTTTGCATTGTTTCTAAACTATTCAAGTGGACATTGCTGTTGATATCTTCTAGAGATCTTTGGCTAACCTATATCCTGAATAAGAACAAGACATGTATCAGCGAAGAAATATTTCTTTTCAATGACTTCATAACCAAGCTGTACAGCCGTATTTATACTCGGTAAAATGACAGATAATTGCAATAAAAAGTTGCTCAGTCAATATGGAAAATATACAGTAGGTGTAGGTGGTGGTATTTGTTCAAGTGGAAGAAATAGAAAATGGGTCACTGAATAAAGAACGAATTGATAACAAGTGGCGAGAAAAGAGATACGTGCTGTCAAAGAATTGTAAAATGGTGATAATTTAGCTTAAACATGCAAAATAGGTCAATGAATAAGGAATGAATTGATATTGAATAGTGAAATATAGGTCAAATGTTATCACTGGGGCAATGTTTCAGCAAAAGGCCTGTGATCTATTTCTCAGTTTTCTTCTACATCTGGAAACCATCTGCTTTTTCCTTCATAGCACTATCTTCAACAACACAAGAAAGAATCATTATTTACTGGAAGATCTATTCGCACTTTTGATTTGAAGATTTATGGGGATTTGTTGATTTCGGGGTCGCTATTCATCATGGACTGATATCAGTTGGAAAACCACTTAAAACCTAGGAGCATTTGACAGCTGTTGCATCCTAGCATCGTACTCTTCAGCAGTGCGTACGTATGACATTGCCAGAGATCGAACCCAGAACTTCTAGGTTTTGTGGTGAGCAAGTTGACACTGAGCCACTGTCCAGTGTTTCCAGTTTTTTTTAGTGGTACTCTAAATGATGTCAGTTCGTGATGTATTTGCATTTCTGTTTGGAGTAGGATTGTGAATTTTTACGCCACTACTAGCCCACATTTTCTTTATTAAATCACATTAAACCACCATTTACTTCTGTTCTTACTTTACCAAAATCATTCATGGTGCAACTTTAAAATTTCTTATTTTAGAAGCTGAAATGACAGAATTGGCCAAAGCTCTTACATATGATCGAGAAGTTATTCGCGTCTGGTTTTGCAATAGACGTCAAGCAATCAAAACCACGGAAAAGCAGGCAAAAAGCATACAATCCTAATAAACTGAAACCCCCTGAAGATATAAATCCGAATTCTTCTGGATCATGGTGTGTATTCATGTAATCAATGAATTTATTCTTCTAAAGTAACACTGAGGATTTGTTCATTTCATGACTTTGTAGTATAGTGAAAAAAAATATTCATTTTTGCTTTAATACATTACTGAAACAGGAATACACAAAGTAGATTCAAAGTGCTTAATAAACATCTCACTGGTGAAACGGGAGGTGGTACCATGGTGATTCACATGTAACAAAAGTCAATTTGATTGTAAAATTAAAGATTCCTGTATTTCAAAGGTTTATGTTATACTTAAGTGACTGAAACTCCTTGTATCCAGTTCAGATTCTGGGGGATTTGCGGGAAAGGTGACAGTAATCATTATGCTTTAAAATGACCTTTTTTGTCTTTAGTCATGTATATCTTAAAATAATACTTTGTTTCCTTTAAGACGAGCTACACGATTCAGTATCTTCCAATTACATATCAATAAATACACAGCTGAGAGTTTATTCAGAACAGTGGGTTACATAAGATAATATAGGAAATTTAAGTTGAAAAGTTAAAGCTGTTGGCTATATTGGAAAACCTCACAATTTGAATGCATGAATTAGCCTAACAAATCATGATAATAGGATCTGTTGAATTCCGTTTATTAACAAATGTATTTCTTTTTACAGACATTTTTGACATCTTCCAAACAGTTCCGAAGTCTTGAAGTAATCTAGTGCATTTGGTCAGAGAAAAGACTAGTTTTAAAGTACTTTATTCCATATTAAAAGATCAATAACACTCATTTTTCTGATCAGTGGATGATTTATATGTACTTTGGGTGAGTAGGGATTTTATTTCCAAGTTATTATTCATCATGAACCGACATCAGTTGGAGAACGATTGAAAACCTGAGAGCACTGGATAGCTGTTTTGTCTTCGCATGGGGCTGCCCTGGGCCCAAGAATCTGCGTGGGATCGAACTCAGGACTTTCAGGTTTCACAACAAACGCGTCAGCCATTCAGCCGTTGGGTCGGAATTTAGTAGTCGATAGTTTCCTTCTTCTGTCAATTCGTCACAAAGCGCAACTATCATCCAGAGTTTGCAGTTAACATCCGCTTCAGTTCCGACTGGTTGACCTCACTGGTCACGGCTTCTCAACAGAACTTCGGAATACCCCAAAGATAATGTAGATTTCAGGGAGTTCTTTCTTATGGTTGCTTTAGATACCTTAGGAATATCTACATTCACAAGATTTTAATCTTCTATATCCAACCAGTCATTTTTTCACATATATTTACCTTACATAGCTACTTTTCAGAAAATGATTTCTTTTTGACTTCTCTTGTTTAGTTCATTGATATGATGTATTTAGTAATGAAGGATATTTAGTAGGTTCAGAAAATACACTACTCTCATATTCTGTATGAGAAATATAAACCTAACGTCTAAATGGTGCGGGAAGATCTCGAGTTCAAAGTCGAGATGAAATATTAATGCAGTAGGTGTAAGAGAGGCTCATAAAATTCGCAAACCTTAGATAATCAGGGGATTAGGGGTCCATCACACCAACAAAGAGACAATTAAATTCAGGTTCACTACTTCAAGTGGTTCAGTTACCATTACTCAGAATCATTCAGTGGTAAATCACTCTTCATTAATCTAAGAATAACAAATTTTGGAAATTGGTGCCTCAAGATCTACGAAGTACAGTCAGGTAGGTAAAATGCACAACTAATGAGTCATAGAATGACCCTATAACGACTCAGTGGTGTTAATTAAGGTTGCTACACAGCCATTATATAAAGTTCTTTTTTCTCGATTTGCGACTTATTTTATCGAATCACGATATTTTTCAAGATAAGATTACCAGGTTCAAATGAATTACATAATCTCAGTGAGCATTACCGAATTATAAATTTATTCTCATTCCGCATACAAATGATCATTTATCTCCAGATATGACTTGTGTTCCTATTTAACGAAACTGGATCAAAGTTAATCTTGTGACTCCAAGTAGTAAATATTATCATAGTAAAATTTAAGATGAAACTTTATATGGGTAAAATTTTATAGAAAGAATTTGTCTCTTTCTTACTTATCTTTGTATCTTTCAAAGAATGAAGAACCGAAAAAATTTCTACTTCACCGGTGAGAAGTTCCAACACAAATATTACTCACCAGGAAAAGTAGGAAAATTCGTGAATTATGTATTCGGAACCACGTAATATCTACCGCACTTGATGCAATACTACTCGAGAAATCTTCGTCATGATTGAAGTAAAAAATACTTACACTTAAAAATATGAAAAATATCAAAACAATCCCATTTAAACATAGGAAAACACAGAAGACAATTGCAGAGAAGAGAGTTTTCCTTTCGTTTTCTCTGCTGTACATTCGTGGATTTATAGTAAAAAGGGCAGAACATCCCAGAGTAATTTCTGGTCAAATGTCAATATAAATTTAGTCACAAAGCAAAGTTACGTAGTGAGGAACTAAAAATGATTATAGAATAAAAGTATATAAGTCATATGTGGGTTGTCTAGGGTGGTCGATAATCTATGACGGCCATGGCGAAGAAATAGGTTGTACATACTTCCTTCGAACGCACAATGATGGTTTGACTTTTCAAATCTTTAATGCTTCAGCTATGCCTAGATCTTTTACCCTCGTTCCTCTCGAGTGACGTTTTTGCATTTTGTACAGGATTTTGAAGGACTTATTAAAAGGAGTCAGATATCCTTAGTCTACTTGATATTCTGTTACAGTAATAAGAATTCATTTCTGTTCTCCCCTTGTCAGCCAAGTGGGATAGTGTTCTCTGGTGTATTGCATAAGCTGGAGCATGGCACTGCCAATGTACTTGGCTCCACAAGAGCAAGTAAACTGATATACACATATCGATGTCATCCAGTGCTCCAGCTTATCCTTAGGGTACTGACGAGTGGGTTTCTGACAGCAGAATGTGATTCTAAGATTGGGGGCAAAGAATGTTCTGTTTTTGGATCTTGATAGTCTCTTCTTAAGTATATCCGCCGGATTATCTCTAGGCTTAACACTGAAGTCTTCTTTCGGAGCAGTATAGACGCGTACTGTGGCGTTTTTGTTTTTAGATTCTTACTTAATCAGTGGGTATCAAATTTTCATCAGGATTTCTCGCAAATTTTCTAGTTCATCATGTATCGTATCCTCTGTGCCTTTTCTTGAAGACAGTGAATTGATAAGGTTCCTGTTTCTGCTAATGGGAACACAGCTTTGAAAATTAATAAACTTCCCGCTTCTAGTGGGCTTTCTTTTAATAGATCTCTGAACTGAACTGTCATTTTTCGCTTTGAAGTTGAACATCAAGGAAGTAGAACTACGAGTTCGACTCTTCTTCTAGAGTGAATTTTGTAAAGCGATGAACACTATTAAAGGTTAGAATCAGGTTTTCAAGACTCGTATTCTCGTCATAAATCATAAAAGTATCATCTATGTATCTTCTGTAGATGTGAACCTTGCTGATTATTTTCGAGTAGGTCATGTTTTCCTGGCTTTTCATGAAGCAATCATCTATGAAAAAGTCTAAAATTACCTTCACAATTTAACAAAGCTAACTTATTCCCTTAAGTCTCCTCTGATGGATAAGCATATTTCACTCCAAAACTCAAAGATTTATACTGTATAAAAGGTGTCACCAATTCATCACACTTTCCATCGCTTTGTATGAATAACTGAAAAATGTACAAATTGCCTACCACTCAACGACCATTTAATAGAACCATTGTAATCTTACGGAAAGCTGCTCAAAAAATACATTTAATAGAAATCATTAATAGTAGTCAGTCTGAATTGGGAGTGAAATTTCGATCCCTAAAGGGATACAAGTTCCCCTCAGATTGCAGATCCACCTTCCTGGTAGGAGTTAGTCAGCACCAAAGAAGGTTCAAAGCATTTGATGAAAAGCAAGATCAGCACTGGATTATGATAGAACTAAAGGTTAAGGCATAAAAGTCATCGATTCTCAGGAAAATGAATCACTAAACTATCTCTTATCACCTTAATTTTTGTAATTATTTAGGATGGTACATCAACTATGCCATTACTCTTGATCATTTACTTTAAGTTACGCTGGAACTCCATATTTTTAGCAGATTTGCTTCATATTATTGTATGTTGAATAGTCCTGTTAGTCATGAAATAGGGTCATCTTTAAAAAAATTGGTTTTCACACATCACCCAATATTCTTACTGTCTTTCTAAAGCCGCATGATAACATAATTCAAGATCTTGATTGTGTTCTGATCTTAAGGTATAACATGCATAGTATGTCAATGAGCAGTTTAAATACATCGGAATAAGCATGCTCAAGTTTTATTTTAACAGATGCCAAAATATTTATGATTGACATGAAACAAAGCATTTAATCTCAACGTATTTCGCAGACAAAAGTTTTGTTAGACAAACTCTTTGATATGTATAGGCAAGGAAAAGATTGCCACAGAATTCTATTAATTATGATTGGACATCTGCAGATCAAGTAGACGTGATAGTTATTGGTTGGTCACTAGAGAGTAACCTTTTCATTTGCATAGTCTTCAGTACTGATCAAATTCTGTCTATCATTTTGATGTGGGGCCACCAAACTCGAAGGCTGACCATCGCTGTACACTTTGATTTGTGTTTGTTGGCTGGAATCAATCGGCAGGAGGCCATAGACCTAGGTTTTGTGCTTCTTAGCACTGGTCAGCAAGGCGTATCTGCAACCTCGAGGGAAGTGATGCTCCTTCTACAGCAGAGTGACCCGGGTTCAAATTGCAGAAGTGACATGACTTCCATTAAGGTTACAGATACGCCTAACTGCTGAGTGCCAACAAGCACTTAACCTAGGTCTAGAGCTTCCTGCTAACATCAGTCGGACGTAAGATCTGTCATAATTTCGAAAGCAGGAAACATAATATTCGTTTTAACCAGTAACATGTACCAGAGGTCTCTAGTGGACGCTTCTGCTTAAAATTATTTAGT